CAGTCTGTGTGTGCTGTGTGTACAATGAAATATTTTTGCGCTATGCGCGTGGCACAGCCACAATTGCTTATAAAATAAAAGAAAGAGCGTTCAGTTCTGTGGCCGTTCAGTGGTTGGGTGGGTCGATGGGTCGTCGGTGGCTTGACGGTAGGTTGTTCGACGGTTGCCCACTCAATAGCTGGGGGCTCTTTTCAATTAGCCCAGCCTGTCTCGTTGCTATTGCCGCTGCTGTCGCGCGCTTAATATGAATTTCATATATGCATACAAAGTGAATTTGTTTTTTTTTTCGTCGCTTGGATTTTTTTTCTCGTTTTTTTTTTCTCATTTTTTTTTTTTTTTTGTATTTCAGTTTAGTCGCATGGACTTTGGGTTGTATTTTAGTTTAGTTGCTGAAGGCGAGTGGAGCGCGTAGATTTCGCATCATAACAAATTTTATGAAATCTTAAAGTGAGTTTTCGCGAGTGTGCGCCTGTGTGTGTGCCTGTGCGTGTGTGTGTAATTCAAATTTATATTTCAAGTTCGAAAGTCGCTTATCATTAGTAATCGTGTACTAATTATAATTGCATTTGATAGCGCACAACAAGCTGTCATATAACACACAAATGTGACAAGTGTTGGGGCGGGCGAGGTGGGTGGGGCCATTGGAAAGTTTTTTGTTTTTTGTTTTTTGTTTTTTGCTTTCGTGTAGACCTTGAAATCTATATTAGATCATAAAGTTGAAGTATTTTCAATTAATGATGAGCACAACAGCAACAACAACTGAACTAACTAAAGCAAACAGCTACGCTGAAATAAAATTGTTGTGCTAACAACAACAATAATAAAAACAACAACAACAAGAGCAACAACAATGCGCGCTTGTCTCAATTTCTTAGCAGTTATTTGTTTGGTTTATTTTGTTCTTTTTTTTCGCTTTGTTGTTGCTCAGAAAGTGTTTTTTTTTTTGTCGTCTTCTTCTTCTACTTTTCTTTTGAATGCGATTTTGCGTTTTGTGTTTCGTTTCCGTTGCGTGTGTTGCCCAAACAATGACACGAATAGCAGCGCTGTCGGCGTCGGCGTCGACGCCAATGGGTGTCGCCATTGCCGCTATCGACACCGCAGGGCGCCGTCGCCGCCAGCGGCGAAATCGATACCAAAAGCCAACAATAAATGCAATGCGAATTGAGCATAGAAGAGAGCGAAAGAGTGAAGTGATAGTGAGAGAGGGTGAGAGAGGGCGAAAGAGCTGCGTAAGTTGGGCGCTGGTGGCGCGCACACGATGAACTGTTGACAGGTTTCAGCCTTTAGTTTTGTGGCTTATCAAATATGTCAACATTTTTATTTATGACTTGTTAATTGCAAACAGGCAAAAGAGTTGCCAATACGCAAATCAGACAATAGCCGGCAATAATAGCAACAGCAACAGCAACAGCAACGACAACATTAACATCAACAATGAACAGTTAGTGCATACACAACAAGCAGACAATAAAGCGCGAAATTCCACAGCCACACACACACACACACACACACAGTTTCGTAATATGTATGTATGCATGTATCTATGCCTGATAGATACAGCTCATTTGTGTTTGGCTCACTCTTTGCTGATAAGCAACAACAAGCACGAGAAATCAGCACAATAGAATCGCGATTCGCAGCGTTTCGAATCACTTGTGTTAATGGATCTATTTATTTTGGTAGCCTTGTGTGCAAAGCTTATGGGAAGATAACACTGCTTAGTTATTAGATATGTACTATATACCAACTACAAGCACAATATAGCTTACATTTTTACAACATTTGCATATTTGCAATCGTCTCTCCTTCACTCTCTCTCTGTCTGCTCTCCTGTCAACTGTCATGGTCATGGAAACGGATTTCCACTTGTCATTATCCATGGTCACTTGGGCTTTTTGTTGGCTAGTCACATCAGGGCATTGTTTTGGGCGTTCGTGTTGATATGTCTTACATATATACAAATATTTTTGTATGTATGTATGTAGTCAGCCCCAATTTGTATGAAAGCCAATTTCGATAATTCACTTTCAATTTATAGCAATATGAGAAATATTTTTGTAGAAAGCAGATTTATGCAAGGGCCGCTTTTGTTTATAAACATTTAATTCATATGGCTTCAAGTTTTTATCAACTGAACACAATGCAAATTTGTTGTTTATGCTGAAAGTCAAGTCATTCAATCCCTTAGCCGCCTGTTCGCCTAGAGAAATATTTTTCAACTGAGTTCTCTTATAGTCAAATCGCGTTTTCAAGTTATTAATCATCCCTTTGCCAATTCCACGAAATCGATAAATATCGATATCGATATCGAACCATTTAGCATATTTTTTATTTAGATTCTCTTAGACGCATACAGCAAAGTGCTTGACCCAAATTAAGATAATTGATAGAGCACATTTTAGTAGCATTTTTATGCCTTGGCTGTCTACTTTGATGTTTAATATGAATGCCTTAATAAAAGTTGACAGATTATAGAATTGGCTTTTGAAAACCTCTTCAAATTTGAGCGTCTCAATCACACTCTGCTTTCATACAAAGTTCTCTATCAGAGTCAATCATAGATTTGTGTGTGAACAATAAAAATTTAAAACACGACTCAAATAAATAAATAAAGTTTTTTTTTAATTTATAATTTTTGAGTAGCCGAAGCTACTATTTTTTTGAACAATCAAATATTGAGAATTTTTCTTTCTCAATCCCTGTGTTGCACATGTTGCATTAACATCTAAATTAATCAAATATAAATTCAGCTCAATATTCGTTTCAAATTGTTTTCAAAATATTGTGTTTAGCACTCAATTTTGCTGTTCAACAATTTGCACTACTATTTTTTTGAACACAGTGCGATAAGCATGAATATATTTATATACTATTTTCTGTAATTAATTTTGAAGAATTACTGTATTTCACTGAATTCACTGATCTGTGGGCCCCTCAGCTGCGTAAGCCCAAACCAATTAGTAGTTCGCCAGTTTTAGAATCTAAATAATTGAGAGGAAGCCATGGCAAAGGGGGAGCCTTAATTGGAGTAGCGTGAATTTAGCTTTTCCGCGCTAAACGCCGAGAGCTGTAAAGTTTGCAAGGTCAAAGTGTCTTATTGCTGCTGCTGACGTCCATAAATCAATTTATGCTACCACTCAAAGGTCAATCAGGAACTTTCCATTAAGAAAAAGGAAAGACGCTGAGACGATGCCAGAGGCAATGGCAGGCAGCACCAGAAGAGAATAGCACTTAATTACCAGCTGCACCTGTACCGTTCCCCTGTTTTGCAGGTGTATCCATGGCATGGGTATCCATTTACGTTGCCAGCAACAAAGGCGGCCAACAAGCTCAGCAGTGATGGAGTGACGAAGTGAAGCACTAATAGAGCTCGATGCTCGTGCGTGTTCTATTATTGGCTCGCTCTCTGCATTCAATTGAACAGTTTCGAGAAAAGTTCAAGAGCAAAATATTTGCATTGGCTGCTGCTGTTGCTGCTGCGCTTCAGCAGAAATTGATGCCAGCAGGAAGCCATTATATGAGGAGCAAGCGTTGTCCTGACCGTGCAGCATGTTATGCCAAGCAAATTGAGTTATATCAAAGTTCCTCGACAGCAGCCGAAATCTAATTTAATCAAGTCATGAGTGCACATACTGACTGCTGCTGCTACAACCCACACATACACACACACACACACACACATAATTGACAGCGAACAACTGCAACTTGGCCTCTATACGGCAAGCGTGTGGAGTGCAGTTAGTTGGTTATGTCACGGTCATGGCCATTAGGCAGCCTGACAAGCCCAAGCCAGTAGCTGCCAGGCGAGCCATTAGCCACCGGTTGCATTGTGCTCGTGCCTCCTCATGGATTGGCGCGTGTGCCGCTATCCCAAAACAGAGCTGAATAGCACAATAGCTGATGGCGATTGTGCCCTAGCCGTGCTCTATGCCATTTCGTATCATCAGACAATTGTTGTCCAGCTTTTCGCTTTCGCACCTGTGGCCCGATGCGACGGCAGAGAGATCTCTATCTGATCCGCTGCAGTCTGGATGCTTGCATGAAATTCTTAAACAAATACATTCGTTAATAAACAAACAAAAATGAATAACAACACATTCATAATCCAAATCGTCATCGTCAGTGTGGCGAGGGCGGCGACGACGAGGGGGCGTGACTCTGCTGCTGTTTACGCAAATTGCGCAGCTTACTCGTATTTGGCAACGGCTGTGTTGTTATCGTCGTCGTGACCAGCGTACCCAAACAGCTGACAACGTCCAATCGGATACAAAACGTTGACGTTAACGTTGACATTGCCTTTGACGTCGACGGCGACGGCGACGGCGACGCTAACGGCACGCGCCAAAAAAACATTTCTCAGCTCTCCAGTGCGACCTTATTTCGTATGGCAATCAGGCAGTCGCTATTGCCACATATCTGAGCTGCTTGAAATATAGATATATATATAGCTATATATATATGTGTGTATATGCATATATATATATATAGATATATACATGTATTTCATTATATATCTTAGATAACGCGGGCTCTAGCTTTCAGTAAGCCTGCCTGACAATTGATGTTATAATAAATCAAAAAGCCGTTTAGACTGCCAATTATTATTGCAGCTACAGGAAAACAAGCTACTAAAATGTATTTAAATAATATATTTTGTAGTAAATTAAACAAACAAAAATATATTAAGGCTTATGATCGCTATGCAAGTTACCAAAATGTATTTAAATAATATATTTTGTTGGAAATTAAACAAAACATAATATATTGACGTTTATGATTGATATACGGTTCGGTGTCGCAGAGTTGACTAAGGATTGGCAAAGTTATTTGAATAATTTCAACCATTAAGCAACTGCTATTGCATGCACAACGATTCAAAAATGAATCGTCGACAAATTGAAGTTAAATTTTCACCTGATTCAATGTTAATTGAATTGTTTTTCGCGTTGGCTTAATGCATTTCTCTGGCTAATTGATTTGCTGTTCTCTTCTACTTAAAGTGCCAATCAACCGCCAAATCTAACAGTATTAGCAAGCACAACACCGACCACGCCCACCACGCGCCAACCGAAGTCGGCAACATCCCTAAGCCAAGCACTGTACGCAGTGAATGCCAGCGGCGGCAGCGGCAGCGGCGGCGGCGATAACAGCGACCTGATGATCCGACTGCGCGAGTCCATCAAACAGAAGGAGGAGTTTCTGAAATCGCCGTTACCCTCAGGTGTGATGTCTGCCTCAGCTTCAGCCTCAGCCTCAGCCTCAGCCTCAGCCACCGCCTCCACATCCAACGGCAACGCAGCGCAGTCATTGCCACAAAAGCAACAAGCGGCGCAGCACTTTTTTCCATCGCACACGCCACCAGGAGGCGGTAACGTTATACCGCGCGTGCGCCACCAAGTGCTGCTCAAACAGCAACAGCAGCAACAACAGCAGCAGCAGCAGCATCACCTCCACCACCATCAGCAGCAGCAGCAGCAGCAGCAGCAAGTTGTGCTCGGCTACGATATGTACAACAGCTATACGAGCAGCAAGCTGGCGCCTCGGTCCTTGGGTGCAATGCCGCCACAGCCGCGACAGGTGGCTGTTAGCGTTGCAAATAATAATGCCAAGTACGGCAATGAGTTAGACTACTTTGAGACGCTGCAAGAGACGGGCGTGACCAACAAGGTGTAAGTAGTTGGATGCTGCCGAGCTGACCGGGCTCTGGGTTCGGTTGGTTCCGTTGTTTGACTGCTAATTGTTATAATTGATTTTAGATTCGAACGCAAACTGGTCTCGCACATGTCCAAGGGCTTTGATCCATTTAAGCCGCTATCAATCAACACCAGCGCCGCCTCCGAAGCGAGCAGTGCCGCCTCCGTTGCATTAGCTAAAAAGCAGAGCGTTCTATACGAGTCACTGCAACAGCATCCGCTGCACCAGATGCACGCCAAATACCAGCAAAGCACCAGCAGCTCTGGCGCCAGCGCCGTCGATGGCCAGAACAGCAGCCGCATGGAACTGCACAAGGCGACGCTAGCGAACGCTACCTTTGAGTCCGTGCCGAGCAGTGAGTAGCCAGCAAATATATCCACGAAAACAGAAACCATTCAATTGCTTCACTACTTGCAGAGTTTAACAGCGTTCCGGAGCACCAGCAGGCCACCAGTTCCTCGCATACTGTTGCCACTTTGGCGGACATAGCTGAGAGCAGCGGTGAGTACCAAGCAGACGGCAGAAATTCAACTTTAAACTCTGATATATATATAATATATATATAATTTTATCTGGCATCTATCCAAGTCAGATGTTCGTTAAAATTCTAAATATTTAGCTGGACTCGAACATCTAGTTTACTTAGTAAATTTTAATTCTATTCTATCTTCAATCTCTACTGCTGAAACATAAATTTTATTTATTTATTTATTTTTTTTTTTTATTTATTCTTATATTATTCTTCGTATATTTCTTGCTACACCTTTAGATGTTATCAAAATCGTTAATTTTTGTGCATAAAATTTAAGTTGGTTTGTGGTTTAACAATTTTCTAAATGAAGCTCGCTTTTATGCTTGCAGCCGCGGCTATTGTGGACGCAGCATCTGTGCCGGGTAATGTGGTGCGTCGGTATAAGCCGCTCTCGTCCAGCTCATTCGATGAGGGCAAGCCGGTGCGCCGCATCTCGTATCTGCGCGCCACCAACAACGAGACGGAGTATCATGCAGAGTCGTCGGCGGATGCAGCTGCTGCCAGTGCCACAGCAGCTGCTGTTGTTGCGGCAGCCGCGGCAGCAGCTGCTGCGGCGTCCGTTGTTGATCCGCATAAGACCAAAGCTTTGGTCGAGGAGCATCCAGATCCCACGTACGATGTGATCGGCAACACCGGCGCCGGTCATGAGTTCATTGAAACACCCAACGGCTTGGAGGATGTGCGGCTAACCACACATCATGGCAATCGTCGTGCCTCGATCAACAGCGACATGCGCAGCAGGTGAGTCTCTCAGCCGCTGAACTCAGAAAAAGAGCCACATCCTCTAGCTAACACTTGCTCTTTCCACAGCATTCACATCGATGCCGAACTTAATGGCAAGTATGTGCCCAATGAGCTGGAGGCCTTTGAAACGGAGATTGAGATCAAATCCTCCTGCATCAATGGCAAGGTATGCAACGAATCTGGAAGAGCGCCAGGCGAACACTAAATCAATTTGCTTATTTACCTTTGTAGCGCATGTCTGAGTATCGTTCATGGCGCCAGGTTAAACTGGAGATCAAAGGGGATCTTCTGCGCATTTACTCTGGACGCCATACCAAGTCGGAGCAGAATGTAAGTCGATTAATCTTTGATATAGCCGTACGTTGCTAATGCTATCAATATCTTTCATTATCTGGCAGGTGATAGAGCTTGATATTAGAAATTTTAAATTCTTTGACGAGTCGCTGGACAAAAAGAAGTACTTGATACGCATGCAGTCGAAGCCGAGCGCCAGCGGCGCCCACTTGGCTACATTGGGCAATGAGCTCAATTTGGATGATGCGCACGATAAGCTGACATCATCGGGCAGCAGCAGTGCCGCTGAGCCGCAAACACCGGCATCAACGGCTCCATCCTGCGGCCCCTACACTGAAATCCTTTTCAAGACCAAAAGCAGCAACGAGATGAAGCGTCTCTTTGGCTTGCTCCAATGGAAGGATAGTCTGAACTATGATGATATTGTAAGTTGTCCTTAATGCAAAAATCTGTGAATTCTGATTAATTCTCGTGTGTTTTCCATAGGAGCAGCCGGCGGGCAAGCAGCTGGCGGAGCCACAGAAAACAGCAGCCACATCCAGTTATCTGGACGACGTGGCAGGCGCTGCAGACAGCTCACCGCTGAGCTCACACTCGAGTGGCGCTTTGATGGAAGGTCCTGTGGCAGCGACAATTGCAGCAGCTGCCGTTACCAATGACGCCATATCGCCCGTGATGAAGCTGCGTAAACCCTCCTCTCACAAGAATGTACCAGACAAGGATTTGGGCTCGCCCAAGTCGAAGAACTGGAAAGATTTATTGTTTCGTCGAGGCGGTGGCAGCGGCGGCGGCGTCTCCCATGCAGACCTGGCCTCACCTTCGGGCTGTGCCAACAAGACAGGTGGCTCCATTGGGCTGCCTTTGCGCGCCTGTCCCATGTCCAAAAACAATGCGTACGTTCCGCATCTGGTGGAGATCTGCACCAATATTGTGGAGACCAAAGGTCTGGGCGTGGTCGGCATATATCGCATACCTGGCAACAAGGCAGCTATCTCCGAGTTGTCCGAGCTGGTAAACACAAAGGAATTTCAATTCGAGAGCTGCGCCACCGATGTCCGGTGGGAGGACGTGAATGTGGTTAGCAGCTTGCTGAAGCTATTCATACGCAGCCTGCCGGATGCTCTGATGCCCGCCAGCTTTTACATCAACTTCATTGAGGCGGATAAGAAGACAGGCATGGAGCGAATTGTGATGCTCAAGGATATTGTGGAGCTCTTGCCGCGTCATCCCTACGAAACAATGAAGCATCTGATCAGGCATCTGTGTCGCGTCAGCGACAACTGCGAGGTGAATCGCATGGAACCGAAGAATCTGGCCATCATCTTTGGCCCATCTATAATTCGTACACCGAACGACACACTGGAAACGGCAGTCAAAGACATGAAGCATCAGTGTCGCATTGTCGAACTGCTTGTCACGCAGGTGAGCTTCGATTTTGCATCGGCGGCTGCGGCTTAAAGCATTTACGCTTTCTCATTTCTCCTTTTCAGTACGAGTTTTTCTTTGAGGGCGGCAGCCTGCCTGATTTGGCGGACCTGAGTGGCGGTGCGGCCGCGCCGAGCCCAGCACAACCGCAGCAGACGCAAGAGGACCAAACGAGCATGTTGCTGCACAACCTGTCCAAGATTGAACGCATCACAGAGCGCGAGACGCGCTCCTCGCGTTTCATTCCGCAGCTGCGCAGACGAACCCATGGCAAGCGCAGCGCCGTTAGCTCGGATACGTACTCTGGCGAAAGTGTTCTGGTAAGCGGCAGTAGCCAAGCTCAGCACAATTCCCACTGCACCACAACCACAAACACCACAACCACCACCAATACCACCACAACCACCACCACCACCACCACCACCATCCGCACCAACAACCAAAGACGAATGCAGCGCAAGGCTGTGCAAAGCATATGCGATTTTGGCTTAATACTGCCCGCGTTTCACTTTCAGTCGCTGGACTACGCCAAGGTATCAGCGAGCAGCACGACCAGCACCAGCAGCAGCTCCACGCTGCATAGCAGCAAGACTAGCACCACCAGCAAGCTGCTCAGCTCGGCCATTGGTTCGTCCGCATTCACATCATCAACGAACACAACAAAGGCTGCGGCAGCCACCACCAAGAAGCGCAGCACTGGTGGCTTCCTCTCCAGCTCCAGTTCGCGCAGCGCACAGTCACGCAAGGCCAGCCTCGACGAGAAGGACTTGGCCAGCGTGGACTCAACTGGCAGCATAGGCAAGCATGATCAACAGCAACGCAGCAGCGTAGACATTTCCATACAGCTCACCGACGATGATTCGAGCAGCCGCCTGAGCGATACGGGTAAGTGCAAGCAGTTCGAGAATTGCTCTAAAAGATTCAGTATAGCAAGTGCTCACTGTCCATGGACAGGTTCGATGTCGCTGACCACCATTACGGACACACTCGACAGCAAGCTGCGAAACTTGCGCAGCGGCTCCGAGTCCAATGATGAGAATGGCTCGCCAGAGTTTCCAAAAAATCGACGACACACGCTCGGCCAGCCGCTGCACTTGCACTCCGAGAACATTCCCTATGCGGACGAGTCGCCGGAGCGACTGTTCCACAACTTCTGCCCACTGGACGCGCCACACTCGCTGCTGCTGAGCCGTTCGTGCACGGCCACCAACACCCTAGGCGAGGCCAAAGATGACAAGCATCTGCAGTTGATGTTGAAGCCAACGGTAGCACCGCTGCCCGCCAGCTTGCTGAAGGCCGCACACAAGCTGCAGCATTCGGCCACGGCGCCCATACATCAGGGCAGCTCAACGGCGCCGGCTAGTGGCGCCGCCACGCCCACCGCTGGCACTGGCTCTAGCAGCGCCTCAACGCCACTAGCTGGAACGCCCAGCTCCCAGACGGCCAACTCAGTGCAACGCAACTCGTATGGCAGCAAGAACTTGCGATTCAGCAGCTCGCTGGCATACGAAAGGGGCGTGGGCGGCGCCGGCTCCGAGGATGACTCGGAGGGCTCCACCACCAGTGATCCCAAGGAGAAGCTGCTAATGGCCGCACCCTCGCCGTCGTTTTTTCTCGAGCGCTACAATAAAAAGCGGCGCGACCATCGACTCTTTCGCAGCGCCAGCTTCAACTGTCGCAACTACTCAACGAGACACATGAGCAGCAGTAACTCGAGCACCGCAGCTGCTGCGGCGGCCGCCGCCTGTTGCTCGCCCACATCGTCGTCGTCGTGGGCGCATGCCGCTGCCGCGCTGACCAAGGATGAAAAGACTGACATGAATCTGACCAAGAAGAGGCAGATACAAAACAAACAGAATCGCTCAATCAAGCGGCGTCACACGGTGGGTGGACCGCACGACTATGCGGCAAATAGCGCTGGCGGCGGCGGTAGCGGTGCGGGCGGCGGTAGCGGTGCCTGCGGTGGTGGTGCTGCTTGCGGTGGTACTTCGCGTCACGATCTGACTGCCATCAACTACAATCATCACAATCGCCATCACAAGCAGCAGCTGTTGAAGTTGGGCAGTGCTGGGCCAGGAGCGAACGGCGGTGCTGCCGCTGAAACGACAACCACAACAACAACCACCACCACAGTATTGCGTAGACTAGGTGCAACGGCGACCAGCGCTAGTGCCAGTGCCAGTGTCAGTGGTGTCACGGAAGCCAACGTCGCTCTACCCGTCTCTGGGGCCACTTCTAGCAACAACAATAACAACAACAATTCGCCATTAAGCGATGGCAGCAATGGAAACAGCACAGCCAGCGGCGCCGGCGTCGGCAGTCCAAGCAGCAACAGCAGCTCGGCAAGCCACAGCAGCAGCGGCGGTGGCGGCGCAGCTAGCGGTGATCAAGTCTTGGAAGTGGGCATACGCATCAAGAACATCAACAGGGCGCGCTTCTAAAAGCCAAACCTGGAGCAGGTGAGTCTCTCAATGAAATAAAGCTGAAGATTATCCAGTTCATTTGAGTTCATTTCGCTTGCAGCTAAAGAGACGTACAACTCGAATGTGTGAGGGAATATACACATATATATATATATATATCGGAAAGGATTAGTATTAAAGACGAAGTAAAGTATTCAAAAGGAACCCACAAAAAACAAAAAAACCATCCCCCCAAATGCCCCCAACGCACACAAAAATACACCGAGGGAACAATGGAAAAGCAAAAATAATAATAATAGAGACAGCGCATCGTATAGAGGGAGATATATATATATATATACACACATATATATATATATACATACACATATATGTATATATAACTATTTTGTAAAACGTATACAATAGTACAGAATATGCTTAACCCCCTATACACATACAAACGAACATATATTTGTAAATTAATCATACAGACACAAACATTTTATGTTCGTAACTTGGGCAACATTTGATAGCCATATATAAAAATATCTAGTGCATACATACATATATATAAATATATATATTTCTATACATAATACATATACATATTCAGATTCCGATGCATATTTAAACGTAACCAAACAATGTCGCCTGTCTATAACTTAGAGGGAGAGAGAGATAGAGTTGCACAGGCAAAATGATAGAGAGAGAGAAAGAGAGGGAGATATGGCAACAGCTTGCAGCAGGCAGCTGCGTTGTATGATTTGCAACAGATTTCGACTGTTATGTATGTAGTTTTGTACCTGTACCTGTTCATACATATGGATAGATTCTAGTGCGTAGATGCAACACTTTTAGGTGCCTTAATTGCTTTGCTTTAAAATTTGTCAATCGCGATCAGTCGTTCGACCTGTAAAGACGTGAATTCGAACAGCCTTCGCTTAAGCTCTACTGCTGCAGAGTTCTAAAAATAGAACTTTGCGGTGCATTCTTCAACGCAACAGCAACAAAAACCGCACACGCAGCGTTTTCTTATCGCTTGCTTCCGCGTAACTCAATTGCTTTAATTGTAATTTACGAAATTTCGTCGCTTGGCGCGAGTGCGCCTGCACTCAAAAGCACAATCCGCGATGACATCTAATGTCAATGACCGCGCTACAGCTGTAAAGGTAAATGCAGAAATGCAAGCCCAGCTTAACGTTGTGATGGCAAATAGGCAAGCCTCCATCATGCCAATAAACTCAAAAATAGATATCGCCTCCGTGCAAGGCATCACTAACAACAAAAACACGAAACGTAAACAGCCAAATTCACCAAAAACCATCAAGAAAAGGCTCATCTTCGACGAACCAAGCACCAGCAATGCAGCATTAATATCAGAAAATCGATTTTCACTGCTCGTAGAAGAAGATGAAGACTACAGCGAATCACCTGTAGCTCCAGAAGCCCCAGTATTGACCGACCAGCAAACTACACCGAAACCTCGTCCGCCCCCCATATGGTGTCCAAACATCAAGTCTGTGGCCCTACTTCAACAGATAATAGATAAAGTAATTGATGCTAAATCATACGTAATTAAGCCAAAGAAGAATAACATAGGTGTATTAACCCAATGCAGTGAGGACTATCGCAGAGTTATAGACCACTTTACTAAGCTGGAATTGGAGTTCCACTGCTACCAGCTTAAGGAGGACAAACCATATAGAGTCGTGTTCAAAGGGCTTCACTCCAGCACTGATACAACACTAATTAAAAAGGAATTGGAAACCAAAGGCCACACAATTACAAATGTGCACAACCCACTGAGCCGTATGGACAAAACACCGCTAAATATATTTTTTGTTGACGTGGCTCAGGCCCCCAACAACAAAGAAATTTTGGACATTCGAGTTGTCTGCAGGCAACGCTGCACAGTGGAACTGCCAAGAAGATACAACGACCTGACACAATGCCATCGCTGTCAAGAATTTGGACACACACAACGCTACTGCCACAAAGCTCCCAGGTGTGTGCGTTGCGCCGGGAAACACGCATCCAAAGACTGCACCCGCGAAAAGGACCAGGCACCAACTTGTGTGCACTGTGAGTTACAGCACCCAGCCAACTATAAGGGCTGCCAAGTATACAAGCGGTTGCGCAAATTGCAATCCCCAGCACAAAAAAGGAGTCCCACACAAACACCGTCTACGGGTCCGAGTACTGCTTCCGAAATTACAAGGCCCCGGAGCATTACCCAAGCCACGAGCTTTGCAACGCCTATTAGTGGTGTTTCTTACGCACAGGCCGCTAGAGGTGGACCGTCAAATAAGAATACCACAAGTGACACTTTGTTCACTGAAATGCTTCAGCAACAACAACGTCAGTTTGACGCAATTAATGCCGAGCTCAAAGCGATGCGAGAAGTACAATCCCAACAAGCAACCATGCTAAACAGTTTAATGGCCATCATAACCAAGCTTGCCTACAAATAATGGCTTTACGTGTGGGTATCTGGAACGCCAATGGCCTGAGAAACAAGACTCAGGAACTGGCTGCGTTTCTCTCACAAGAAAACATAGATATAATGTTAATAACAGAAACTCATGAGTGCCCCACTACACAAATTTTCGGATACGAACACTATCAGGCTCATGGTGAAGGAGCAAACTGCTTTGGTGGATCCTCAATCCTCATACGAGCAACAATACCGCATACACCTTTACTGTCAATTTGCAACGCAACAATGCAGGTCTCAGCCATCACCCTGCCTACGTCTATTGGAGCGATCGAAGTTGCGTCAATTTATCTTCCGCCAAACACTGGTCTGTGTGATCATCACATGGAACAGGTTCTAGGCCAAAGGTTGAATAAGACCCTCATCGGCGGCGACTGGAATGGATGGCACCCATTTTGGGGAAGCAATAGTGCGAATCGTCGCGGAGAAGTCATATTTGAGGCGATTCAAAACTTACAATTCAGCATATTGGCGACTGGAGCCCCCACCCGTTACCCAATTAATGGACACAGGCCCTCGGCAATCGACTTCGCTGTCTACAAAGGCATCTGTGACCGGCAATTGACCATTGAAGAATCCTTGGACCTATCCTCTGACCACCTGCCACTAATAGTCACAATCCACGCGCAGCCACAGCCCTTGCCCATTAGGAAACAACTACTGCCAGCAGGATCAGATTTAGGAGTCTTTAGGCGCGAGCTCCATTACTCTTTGCACATAGAAATGGAACTTAACACTCCTGAAGACGTGGACTACGCAGCAAACAAACTGCAGGAAGAAATAGTCAAAGCTGCGCACCAAGCCGCCCCACCATCTTGCCAAACAAGACAACAGTCTCCGTACAACATCCCCCTCACCTTGGAGGCCCAACACCTACTAATACACAAAAGATGGGCCAGGAGACGCTGGTTAAGATTACGCACGCCTGATGCCAAATCCACGTACAACGAAGCCACGAGGCATCTTAAAGCTGCTCTCGCCCTGCTTCAAAAGAGGTGTATCAGCGATGCGCTGGTACGAGCTGAATCGCCCACTGACGCAGAGTTTCAATTATGGAAATTTACAAGAAAGCTCAAACGGCAGCCAATACGTCGACATCCCATTCGGAGCATTTCTGGTTCCTGGCACATTGGTGACGAAGCTCAAGCTGAGGCTTTTGCAAACCACCTTCAAGACCAATTCACGCCGGTGATTACCGCAGAGGCCTCAGAAATCGAAGCAACAGAAGACATCGTTCTCTCGCCCCTCCCAGCTGAAGACCAGATAACTGGATGTACAAAAGAAGAGGTTCTTGAACACATCAGAAGAGTGAAGGCAAAAAAATCCCCTGGATATGATCTAATAAACGGCAGAGTCCTTAGAGCACTGCCTGACTCCACCATAGACTACATAACTATGGTGTACAACGCCATGCTCCGCATCCGGCACTTTCCAGCCTGCTGGAAGCGCGCCGTGATTGTGATGATTCCTAAGCCTGGCAAACCCGTGGGAGAAATTGAGTCGTACAGACCAATTAGCCTGTTGCCAGTACTCTCCAAAATATTCGAAAGAATATTTCTGGAACGAGTACTGACACATCTGGGACGCCAGGAGGCCATTCCAAACCATCAGTTTGGCTTCAGGAGACAGCATGGAACACCGGAACAGGTTCACAGAGTTGTGCACCATATCCTTGGAGCCTTTGAAGAAAAGATGTACTGCTCTGCCGTCTTTTTAGACATCAAACAGGCGTTTGATCGAGTTTGGCACCTGGGACTGCTGCAGAAAGTGAGGACCACCCTTCCAGCCCCATTTTTCGCGTTGCTATCCTCATACCTTATTGGAAGAACCTTCCAAGTGTCAAGGGGGCAAGCAGTATCCTTGACTAGACCAATTATGGCTGGAGTACCACAGGGTAGTGTTCTAGGCCCAACACTTTATACTTTATTCACAGGAGATATGCCAACTCCCGAGCCAAATATAGGAAGTACAGATGCAGTACTCATAGCGACCTATGCAGATGACACCGCCATCTTATCACGTCACGTATCTGCGCAAGAAGCTTCAGACTCACTACAAAAATATCTGGACTCTTTCGGACGCTGGGCAAAACGGTGGTGTATCACCATTAATGCACAAAAGTCTGTACATACTACCTTCGCCACTAGAAGAGGAGATTGCCCAAGCGTTGCATTGGGGCCCACTATTCCCAAAGCCTCAAAAGTAAAGTACCTTGGTATCACTCTTGACAGAAGGCTGACTTTTAAAGCGCACATAAGTCAAGTAACCTCAAAATGCAAAAGCAAGCTAAAAACCCTCGACTGGATGCTGAGAGCTTCAAGCAAGTTGTCTTACAGCAGCAAGGCCGCCATCTACAAGGCAATAGTTGTCCCAACCTTCGTATATGGTATCTCTCTATGGGGCTCCTCGGCGAAGACTACAAGGAACAAAATTCAGACCCTGCAGAATAAAGCACTACGCAGATGGACTGGAGCCAGCTGGTTTGTAAGAAACTCAGTCTTACATAGGGATTTAGCAATTCCCACAGTTGCTGAACTCATTGGGCGACACAGTTCAAGATACGCGGACAGACTTGCAGCGCATCCTAACCATCTCGCAAGCAACCTGGCTATAAACAACAATAGGCGAAGACTGAAGAGATTGCATCCTCTAGACAATATAAGAACTAATTAAGATAGTAGCTACAAGTGCAGAATAATTGGCATATCTGCCCTCCCATTAGTTAAGGTTTAGAGCTAAATGCGCTATAGAGTCTAAGACAATAAGCTGCAACAAAATAAAGAAAAAAAAAAAAAAAAAAAAAAAAAAAAAAAAAAAAAAAATTTGTCAGTGACATGATTTAGGGAACGCTGTCTATATCGGTGCTCGTTCGGCGATTGGCAGAAAGCATATATATATGCGTTGGGTGCTCGCGTGTCATTAGTTTAAGAGTCGACCATGTTTTGTAGTATGTTAACCGTTAGTTAAGTCCAACATTCAGTGGACCTAGCTGAGCTGGGCTCAATGTAGCTGCCTGTTTAGCACGGGATTAGTTACTGGACAGGCGACAAGAAGCAGGTGCACATCAGCAAAATACGCTACAATGTAAACGATTCGTTCAAATAAACCCCTTTGGCAAACAAATACAAATGTTATATATGTATGTATGTATAAATAACATTTAAAAAATACAGCAATAAGTATAGAAGAGCATTATATATATACACTGGAGTGTGTGTCGGCAATGAATGAATGAATGAAGGAGTTCTAAAAGGGCAAGAAAGCATACATATAGCCACATAAAACAACACACACACAGACACACACTCGCACACACACACATACACACATGCATACCTAATATACCTATATAAAATATAATATATACACATACATGTATATTTATTTTTTTGTATTATTTTAAGTTGAATCCAACAACACAAAATATACATGCAAAAATATAATCATTAAGTAAATAGTCTAGAGTTGTATGTAGTTTTATATATACACACACACGCACACACACATGCACATATGTCTATATATTTATATATCCATATATATATATATATATATATATATATAAATATATCCATATTGTATAGTTTTCTCTTCTTTTTTTTATTTTTGTATATATTAATCTTTCTTTTTGCTTTATTTGATTTTGTTTTATTTTATTCTGATCTTGATTCATTTTTTTCATTTCTCAAATATATTAAATTCATTTATATATATATACATATATAATTATTTTTTTTATAAACCTACTTTTATTTATACATACTATGTTTTGTTATCGCAAAAACTGAAAGAAAAAAAATTGTTGCAAAATGTTAGAAATCCAAGCGCGTAACGTTGCTATATATATTATTATATTATATTATATTATATATTATTAATATTTTTATTAGTTTTAGGTAGTTATTTTTAAAATTGTATTTTTTTTTAAATAAATGTGAACTTATAAAAGCTACAATGACGACACAATAAAAAAAATCATAAGAGTACTTATAAAGCGAATAACTTACGAACTTTTTTATATCATTTTAAATCGGGATAACAGAATAGCCAAGAACTAGTTCCAATTGATTAAATTAGATTCTGAATTTTTGGAAATTCGTATTTTAACTATACAAGTAAACAACTGATCTGAATCATTTTAAAATCTTAAACCAATAATCGTAGCAAAGTGTTCAAAAAAACCAGTTCGGTTCAATAGAACCAGCAGAAAATTGTGCACATTGGGTGAGCTCTTCAAATATTCAAAAATCTTTTTTTTGGTTTATGAAAATTATTTTATATATATATATTTTTTATCCTGACAATGCATATTATCTGCTAGCTTAACATTTATAAATACAAACACAAAACTAAATCCTATTGACAAAAGCTTGGGAGAGCAATTGCGGTTTTGGTAATGCTTTAAAGCTTGGCCTGCGGTCCAGTGCCCGAAATTTTGTAGACGAACGCGTGGGCAGCATCGTAGTGCGGATTGCAGCTGTGCCGCACACGCTTCAGCCAGGCGCGTATCTTGGGATACTTAATGCGCACATCGTAGTCGGCCATGCCTATGGAGAAGGGTGGGGCAAAGGTCGCATCAGAAACCGAATCGTATCGAATCAAGCTATGCGATTGACTTACGCGTTTGTTCAATTTCACAGGCAGCAAAGATGTCGGCAACCGTGAGCGTGGCTCCGGTAAGGAACTCGCTCTTGGCCAGCCACACCTCCTCGATGATGTCCAGATTACGCTCCATGTGCATGCGCAGCTTCTCGATTTTGTCCTCGGTGGGCGAACGACCCGTCAGCAGCGGATCTAGCCAGATGGTGCGGAAGTACATGGCACAGGTGATGCGCAGCGAAATATGGTGCCACTCGAGGAACTCATCAACGCGCGCCTGCTTAACAAAATACTTGGGATAGAGTATCTCCGGGATCTCGCCCTTGGCACTGAGGTAACGCAATATGGCCACGCTTTCCGCTAGCTTATAGCCATTATCGTTAATGCAGGGGACACGCTGGAAGCGATTTATATTCAGCTTGAACTCATCTGTCAGATGTTCGCCTGCATTGAAGAATTGCATTTATGGATGATGGATGGGTTTGATAATCCAAATATCGCAAGCTCAATCTTACCATTGCGCAGCGCTACAACACAATCCTCGAACTGCATTCCACTCAAACGGAATATGATGAACAGCGCGCGCGAGGGCTGCGACATCAGATCGTAATAGAATTTAAGCGAAGACATCTTCGCACTCTTCACCCGTTGTGCAACTGCAAATATACAAAGTGAGCCAAATGAAAGTCAATCTTTGCTTTTGAACGCCTGCAACGCCCCACCTTTAGCCTTAGCCGGTTCAAAGATCACTTTTTTGCTACGCAACTTCGATCACTCAGATCCAATAACAACACAACAACAGATTAGCCTAGAGTGAGCGACCATGAAGACACAACCAGCTAGCTTCAGTCACAGTGGGTTACTGCTCGCACGGGCGACGGGAGAGCGAGAGCGAGAGCGAGTGAGCGAAAGCTTTTGCGCCAAAGCTTTAAGCGCGTTTATCTGGAAGCTTTTCAGTGCGCGCGTTTCGAGGCAAAGTGCGACTAGATATTCGCTTGCTTTTAATTCTTTGTGATAAAAAAAATGTATTCTCTGTTTCGCGATTATTATTTAATGGTATATTAGCTTTACAAACGATTGAAAGTTTTTCCTAGCATTTAACTCTAATTAATCAATCTTTTCTCAAGCCGGCTCAATAAATTGTTATTTTTTCTGTTTGAAGTCGTTTAGATACTTAGATACATCATTTCATGTATTTATTTTTCTATATTCTTAACAAAGAAACTTCTAAGCATAAACCAATTCTAAATTTATTTTTCTAGCAGCCACTACTATTTTTTTGAACAACTAAATTTTCAGACATTTTCAAGCACATGTAGCTACGTTTGGAGTCAACAAAAAAAGGTTAAATTAATAAAAAATAAGTTCATCTTAATATTGTTTTCATATTGTCACCAAAATATTGTGTTTATCACTAAATTTTGTTGTGCAACAATTGGTGCTCAGTCGCACTACTATTTTAATGAACTCAGCTGCATATATATATAAATATATGTTTGAATATTTGAAACATTAATTATAAGCCCTTCAAAGCGGGGTCTAGTTCACTTTTGTTCTCATAACTATGTTTATTTAATCTTAGTTGATTTTGGCAAATACTTTAATGAATATTTTTCATTTTTGTTCACTTCATTTTTCACCTTGCTGTTCTCAGTTCTGCTGACTGTCACAGTTGAGCATATAGAAACAGATATCTTATATATATATAGCTGCCACATGTTGCTTAGAATGTGCCCGGTATAAGGAACTTGACCTTAGTTTCAAAGATGAATTCCGTCACGCCACAAAGTTGTTTTTATTTTTACTTTTTTTTTATCAGCGCTGATTGGTTTTATTCATGAATTCGGAAATTTAAAAAGGCTTTTAGCTAGTGAATACTCTAGCCGATTCCAGCTCAGCTTAAGACTGAAATTCATTTAAGTTTTTAGCTGATATTTCTTCTATTTACAGACACTTAAACTTACTTCTGGCGTTTTTGCTCCTCGTGCTTAGCAGATTTGGCGCATCCTGTCCATTGCAGAGAGCCAACAAGCTGGCCAAGTGCGACGACATGTTAAGCGCGGGCTAAGAATGCGACTCGTTCGCTGTTGCACACTTTTACTTGATATATATACACAGCATATATAGAGAGAATCCATTGACAGAGCCACTCAATGTGAATCTTTGACGAATAAACAAAAGTACTCAGCTTAGGTAGTTATACGTTGTACGTAGCCAAGATAACGGCGTAAACAATTACGGACTGGCCAAACGTATAAATAACATATTCCGGCTGATTGTGTGAATGTGCATATTGAGCTTACTGTGGCTGGGATCATCTGATAGATTACTTTAGCTTATCGCTCTTGAAAACGATTGCACAGCCAAAAGCTCGATTGTGGACTTCCTTCAATTCGGAAAACATTTAGATAAGCAAGATAGTTATGCAAATGTCTAAAACAACAGGCAAAATGATAAAACTACGCATTTATAAAGTAACTTATCAGGTGAGACTAGTCTAAAGCTACTGATTCATTGGCAGAACAGATAAATTGCATCTGAGAAGCAATACTCATACCAATGAAAGCTTTGGCAATGTCTAGCTAGTCTAGCTGCAGGGTATGTCCAAGTCGTGCAGGCCAATCAGGCTGCCCATTGCCATTCCTAGTGCTCTTCATTGTGTCAAGTATCTATGCGCGTATTGTGAGTGCATCAAATTGGTTTGCTCCAAATAACTGAGTAATTTCAAGAGATTGATATAGCTGTAAATATAGCTATGAGTATATATATACATATATATTTGTATATATGTGTGTGTAGTCGTTATATATGAAATCAAACTCAGTTTAAATTAACTTTTCGCTGATTGCCTCCTAAGTTTTTTATGAAAATGTGATTTCAGCGTATATTAGTCTTGTAAATGTTTTTGTAACTGGCAGAAGAAGGCGTGGCAAGACTTATAAAGTATATATAAACCTGATCAGAACAACACGCTGTATCAATATAGCCATGTCCCTCTGTTCCTCCACTCTGTCGCTCTTTCATAAAATCTGGAAATTTGAAAAGTTATCATTTTTTCTGATTACTCATTCCTTTTGTTTATTATCGATAAAAATCGATCATTTTTTAAAGAGTAGCTTTTTGGAGATTCATGATTTGACTATATCTGAGTAGATCTCAACTGATGGAATATATTATTGATATTGAGGCAATTGTTGTGAGTGTTTGTGGAAGGTAAGTTTGATAAGTTGAAGTGCCGTTAGGTATGTTGGATAGATGAGGTGAGCGCCAGGGATAGTTAACTGATGAGGATTGGGTTAGGCTAGACACATCCATTCCAGTTGGCACTAAAATATAAATATAATTGAGCTGCATAAGCTAAGGCCTTGAGCTGCTTTTAGTATACGAAATGGATCGATTTTCAAATTGGCTGCAAAGTCAAGAAAAAGAGTGGAAATTTGATGTACACTTTTTTATTTTTGAAGGAAAGTTTCGAAATACACATGCCACATAGAGTACATTGTACAGACTTAGTTATAGGTGAGCGGGTCGAATCGAAATGTATAAAATATCGAAAAGATGCCGCACAGGCTAAAACATAGCTAGGTCAACAATCGATGATATTTAGTTGATAAAACTTGATTCTGATTCCGATTTCGATTTCGATTTCGATTTGAATTTGAATTTGAATTCGAGTTTCAGCAAGCACATTTACGGTATCATTATCTGATTTACATTTCAGACGGGTATACATATAGAACTTTCAAAAGTTTTCAACTTACTATTAAATGATTGTTTTTTCTTTTTCTTTTTGTTTTTCTTTTTGTTTTTCTTTTTGTTTCTCTGTTACTTTTTGCTGGGAAGTTCGGGTTGTACAGCTGTACGGATACATAAATATTTATTGAATTCGATTACAATATTTCTTTGTTCTTTTACATATAGACATATACATTTGTACACATATATAGTATGTTGTATATATATATATATATAGATATATTTTTGATTTTATATGTTCTTGTAATATATTATATAATTCTTTTCTATATAGTTTTGATATTTGTTTTATGTTAATTGCACTCTAATTAACTACATTCATTGAATAATTGTTCATTTTAGAGATAGTTTCGAGTTGGATTAAAAAAAATAACATTATCTACGATATTTAATGTGAAATGCTGATTTCTTTTGATACAGTTCAGATCAGAGTTGCTCAGTAGTCTTAACATTTTCGGCCCTTTCTTGATTCAACGGAGATATGGGTATAGCGTTACTAAACGTTCACATCAAATATTTATAATAACAGTCACAGTTACAGTTACAGTTACAGTTACAGTTTATAGTTTACAGTTAGAGTTAAAGTTGTTCGGGTTACATCTATGCGCATACTTAAAGTATATATTGGGTACCTTGGTACCTTGTGGGAGAATCTGCGGTTTTGGCAAAACATACATAGATCAAGCTTCTACAACTACTTTGTAAATATATACTGTATGTATGTATATATGTATATATATATATATATACATATATATATAGATTATATAAATATTTATTTTTGATTATTTATCGGATCTACTTGTTCTCAATAATCATCTGCAGCTGTAGCACCAGACTCCGTGCCAGCTGAAGCACTGCCTGGGCATTGTGACGCTCGGCCATTTCTGAAAGGCATCAGATGATCAGATATTATATATTTAAGCAAATTCCCGATTGATCTTACCGTTAAAGAACTTGATGACATCTGTAAAGTCCATGCTGTTGGACAAAATGATGTCGCGATAGGTTTCGAGCAGCGCCAGCGCCAGGAAGAGCACAAAATGCCCGGAGGCAATGTGCTTGGCCGCCCAGATCACCTCCCAGGTGGCAAAGACATCGTCATAGATGAGCTCGCGCTTGAAGTCCAAGAGGAACCAGCGGTAGCAGAAATAGAAGTGCGTATAGTCCCCATTCGAGTCCATTAGGTCGTACATCTCCGAGTCCAGTATCTGAATGAGCGAGCTGACCACGAGGGAGACAGAGAGACAGAGAGAGAGAGAAGGCAATCGAGATAAGAGACAGATAGAGTGGAGCGCATAGATATAGAGATAGATACCGCATATTGGCGAAATGCATGTCCATGGCACCACCGCTGGGAAAGTTCTCGATCATGCGCTCCATCAGCTTGCAGAAGCAGCTGTAGCTGAGCGATTCATCATCGAAGATGACCAGCAGTGGAGCGACCAGGTCGCACATGCCCTGCATGTAGCCCACATCCAGATGCTCCCACACATACGTCGATATCACATTGCGCAGCTTGTCCAGATTCTCGCTGGCAAAGTACCAATAGTTGCGATCGCAGCGCTGCACATCCTTCTCGATCCGATGCAGATTTAGACCAAACTGTTCCAGCAGCTCGCTCTGTCAATAGAGGAATCGAGTCGATTGTGAGATACCTATGATACGAGGTACGAGGTGAAGGCATGTGGGAACTTACGCTGTAGACACCGCCATTGGAGCTGGCAGGCGAGGCGCAGGCCGATTTTGGCTGCTGCAGTGCATCCAGATTGGGCGCATTGCTGCCAGTCGCTTCCAATTGCTCGCTGAGCGGCGGCATCTGGCTGCTGCTGCCAGCCTTGGGACTGCGCTCCCAGCTGCCGCCGTTGTCCACGGAAGCGTTTGTAATGATGACAGCGGCTGCCTGCTGTGGCTTGGCTGGCTCTTCGTCGTCGGGCAGCTGTGCCTGCAGATCATCGGCGCTGAGGTACTCTGGGCTGAGCACGCTGCGCGTATCGCCCGGCTGTGGTGCACCACCAACGGTCTCATAGGAGGATGTCGTCGAGGTCGAGCAGCTTGGCTCCTTGTCCAGGGACTTGGCGACAATCGTTTTGTCCGCTGTCATTTGTGG